CTTCAGGTACAATATGTGAAAATATATTGTACGCGTGATTTAAATCTCGCTTTTCTAATTATTTTGAATGTTCAAAACGTAAAACTACGTGCCTAGTCTAGAAATATACGAAACTCAAGATTGAACGTAAAGTTTGAAAACTGTTGAGTCGGTGAATATGAAACTGGAAATAGTATCTACTACGTTATCTAACAACTATGAATTTCAACTTCATTTTTGAAAGCGCATTTCGAGCCAAGTAGAATAACAAATTCGCATCAGTAAATTTTAAATTGTCCCAAATGTTTCGAGCCGTGTGACTTGACGAGCGAGGATAGGCGAATAAATTTGAAAATATCTCAACTCGACGAAATGATAATTTCACGCTTATAATAAAAGAAGATTGTAATTGATCGTAGTTATTTGAATTCGAGAATCTCGAATGAGCTTGTTATTTAATCCTTCAAATATCTTTTCAAATTCTTCTCGTTTCACATAAAATTCATATATTATTTGCAGTAATAATTAAAAGAATACAGTTTCGCATTTGCAAGCCTAAATGCAATTTTGTTTTACTTGATAAGAATCATAATTAAACGTTACATCGTATGAAATATTTATACATCGTATTATAGCTAAATTTCTTTTTTATTTCGTACATTTTATTTTCGCATATTGTACGAATTATATTTAAATTCCCCGCGAATGCGTAAACATCAGCAATCCACTCTCTCTCTCTCTCTCTCTCTCTCAACGTTAAGCCGATCGAATTTAAATACCTTGACTAATCTGAACGAGACTTGATCCAAGAATTTATCCGAACACTCACTCTGTTCGGGCTCTTATCGAAAATAGCCAGTTGATCGACGATGTGTATCAGTCGGTATGGGAACACGGCCGCTTAATTACGAGTATATTATCGAAGTAGGAATCTGCCCGCTATTTGCACTGCGTTTCTTTTCGTGGTTTGATCTCCGCTGCTTCGTTGAGCCTGATTCTTATATTCGGGTTAATGATTAAAAAAAAAAAAAAGAAAAAAAAAGAAACAACAAGCAGACGAAAGATCTAAGTCTACATTTTGTTTTATTGCACGTCTATTTTTTTCGATAAAAAACGTTGATTAGCTCGTTGTAAGAAGACGGTGGTCGAGTATGTTATAAAGGATCGGATACGATTTCTTTTCCTCATTGATGAAACGTGAGTTTGTTTTGATCTGGTTGATTTCTCGGATAATTTCGCGACCCATAGGGAAGAGATTTGTCGCGGGACAAGCACGCGAGGTATTCGAGCTGGCTTGGTCGGCGAGCCGCGGAAATCGTGCCGATGGAAATCAGGTTAAATGACAACGAGCGTAGCGTCACGATCGAACGTGTCGAATCGCGACGAGTTTATTTTCAGCTCGGTCTAAGCTTGCGCATATCTTATGTAAAGTAACCGCGTGTGCGTGGACAACAGGTCGTTTGGTGGCACAGGTGCGGTGCCTTGTGGAAAGCTGCAGCTCGCCATGCTGATCGTTAGCAAATCCGTCGTCGCGAGGTTTTCCTGCTCGTCAAAAGATATGCAATATGATTTTTCGCATTTTCTAAAGTACTCTCTCCGTTCCTCGAAAATCGGGAAAGTTTCGCTCTGTTTGGAAAAATTGTGAAATGACGAGATCAGAAAACTTTTCACTTTGTACAAAGTGCACCGTGCAGTAGAACACAGTTTGCCTGAAGACAAACGTTTCATACTGAATTGGTGCATACTGATTTCTCTCGCTAGATAGTTTTCTACAGTAGAAGTTTACGTTTGTATGTTCAGTCAGCAGGAGTTCTTTTAATTAGACACCAATTAAAATTTCGTTCGTTTAAGTAGATTCAGACGGCAGGGGTCCAGTGCTAGGCAGATATCAATCGAAGATACGAATCTCGTACGGACGAAAGTTTTATTTTCTTATGCTTTGCCTCGTTAAAACAGAATTTCATTTTGCTGTTAAGCCGTGGGAACATCCAATACGCGACTATTGCGAATAATTTGTTGATAGAACAAGCTTTAAAAGAAAAGGAAGAAAAAAAAAA